ATATATATATATATATAAATAAATAAACCATATGCAAGCATTGATTTTATTATTGTTTTAGAAGATATTTAGATTGTGTGTTCTATGACCCCATGCAGCCCTCCCCCTCCATTTGATGGGAATGTGTATGTACAGTATAGACACAAGCGTAACAAATGATTTGCTCAATGAATATTTTATGTAACACTCGAGTACAAGCCTCATTGTGTTTTTCTGTAATGATTTATTCGTATTGATGGGTTTTTGTATTTATAGATTAACACCTCCTGGTTATCTCCTGAGGACGCGGATCTTTGGTCTAAGAAACGTTTAAAGCATTTCTCCAAGCCTAACAGATATGTTATTCCTGTCTAGCTGAGAACACTGAGGATTGGATTTCTTATCCCCTATTTATGGAGTATGAATAACAATAACAGACAGAAATTTTGGGGTGTAGCATAGCAGGGATACGATACGGGATATTATCATGTTTTCTTCCCTCGGTCTGTAACTTACATCATTGTATACGACATCCTTCGCCTTGACCAAGTCCTTCAGCATTTCCTCCGTGCAGTTTACTTGGACCTTACAGCAGCTTTGCGGGATGCCGCTGGTCTTGTAATACGCGGTCTGTCCCCAGTCAGTGTACGTCTTCACTCCGCAACACATGAGCTGCACGAGAAAGGAGACCAGTTAGCCTGACAGATCAGTGGTGCTGCCTATGTGGAAGTTCAGGTTCTAGGCTAAGGGAGTAAGCAAGCCCAGCACTCCAGCTGCGGTGAAACTACATAATCGCGCATGTGCGCCCATCTGATTGTCACCTGCGGGCGGCCATCTTGGTGATGGATGCCGGCAGAGAGAGGAGGAGACGTTCACCCGGCGGGATGAGGTATGCCGCCGGGTTCCCTCCTCTCTCCTGACACTGTCGGGCTCTCGGTCCATGACAGAGTGCCCGACTTTTTAGAGGGGGTGACACTAAAATGACTACGTTTTTTTGGCGTCACCCCTGCAATGGTGACAACTGAGTGCGGGCCCCACCCCCTTGTGACGCCACTGACTACATCACCTATCATGTCTCTGCCTCTGGGAGTCTGTGGCTCTCAGGCTCTCAATGCCTTCTGGAGGCTTGTAGTTTCACCGCAGCTGGAGTGCCGAGGTTGCCTGCCCATGTCCTAGACATTCAGTAGAAGCTGGAGAAGGCCAACAAGACAAATCTACTGATAACCAGTCTCAGACTATACTGGCTTTAAAGATGGAAGACCACTGATGGCGAGTTTCCAGTGCTTCCCTCTGCTACCCCAAAGTGCCTTTCAAAACTACACCTCCCATCATTCCTAGTGCTTTTCCACTAGGGTGAAGCATATTTGTGGGAGGCTCCTTGGACGCAGCGCTATAGGCATGGTAATCATACAGTGCTGGATGTGATCAGTCTTTGCTGGCCGGGTTCACGTGTGCTGAACAGGGTTAAGTAGGATTGGGCAGTGCTGAATACAATGTGATTGATGTGTGTCTCATTAAAGGACTATACCACGTGACTGTATTACATCACTGCGTCATCTAGTAGCCTAAGATATCTCAGAAGACGCAAAAGGTTGCAATGGGCATTAAGGAGAAGGCACTCTGATGTTGTGCACCGACTGCATGCTACTGACACTGATTGAGCTGCGCAGGCAACTCATGGTCACCATCAACGGATCAGGTGGCGGTGGGATAATCAGGACTCGGCAAGGGGTTAAATGAGCAAAGAGAGCCATAACTATTATCTGGAGCTGCTGAGGAGGATTGTATTTTTTGAGCCTATAGTTCTACTTTACCAAATAGGATAAACCTAACCATTTAGAGTCTTATGTAGAGAACATGCTGTATAGAAATAAGCAGTAGCTGTAGCTGACCACCAGGTGGCGATGCGACTCCAGATGGCTGAATACATTGTAACTATTTGCCTCTATGGATAATCGTAAAAACTCAAAACTGGTATTAAAAAAAAAGAAAATCATAACAACAGTATTCTTCAAGTGATGGAGCAATCACACATTATGTAGAAGGTTAAAGAACTCCGGGCATATGAAAAATTAACCCTTGCAGCGGGCCAACACCTGATCTGCAAGGGTTAAGTGCTTGTCTTTCTCTAGGGCAGTGGTGGGGAACCTTGGCACTCCAGCTGTTTTGGAACTACAAGTCCCATGAGGCATTGCAAGGCTCTGACAGCCACAACTCCCAGAGGCAGATGCATGTTGGGATATGTAGTTTTGGCACAGCTGGAGTGCCAAGGTTCGCCACCACTGCTCTAGGGTCTAAAATGATTATTTTTTTAAAGATATACTTACCTGATCCTCAGTCCTGCCTGCTAAACTGGTTCCCGCAAGCTCTGCTCCCCAGGGCTCCGTTTCCTAAGGATCTGCGAGTCATACAGTATATTAGGCAAGTTAAGTACCACTAATGGCCGGGGGCATTCTCTCCTGGGGCTCACTATCCCACTGATTCTAATGACTTTAAGGACTATTTTTTCCTGAAGTTCGCCATCCCACTAAACACAATGATTTGGGGGCCACTATCATATTTGAGCTTACTCTTTCCTAGGGGACACTATCCCACTGACACCAATGACGTGGGTCTACTCTTTCCTGTGCTATTCTCTCCTGGAGGCCACTAATTCCCCTCACGCCAATGATTGGTGGGTGTGTGAATGTGGGAGTATGTATATATTTATTACATGCACTCTCTATTACTGCACAATGGTACAGAAACATACTGTATACAAGTACCAGCTTACTTTTAGTTTTGGATCAAGGAAAGTTTTGGAAGAATTTACTGGGCCTTGGTCTCGCTAAGGTTGAGGTGCACTGAATGACGTCATAAGTAGATTTCCTTGCTCTTGGTGCAGAGTTGCCGTGATTTTGCCTTCTTCCAGTCCTTCGGCATGCAGACTCCCCTCCTTCCCCTCATGACCAAAGGAAGCTTCCTACAAGATACTCACCGTCCTCTGAATGGTGTCCACAGCTCGGCTCTGGTCATCCCCCGTAGAGTTGTACTTCTTCAATGCGTCCATGTAACCATTTTCGAAGGTGCTCCGAATCTGAGAAGATAAAAGTAAAAACACAATTCAAACACAAATAGGTAAATGACAAACATCCAGCCAGTCTATGCCCAGGCTGAGGGCCTACCGTCACCACAGCAGCTGGACAATGAACAGAATATTGACAGATGAGTTATCAACTGTCAACTGTATCAATGTCGCTGTTCTTTCTGTATATCTATGAACCAGTACGAGGAACCATTGCTGCCAGATACAAGTGACCACTTGAAAAATAAAGTGTGCTCTTACCTCATGCCTGAAAACCAGTCCAACTATGGCAGCAATCAGCTCAATCAGGAAGATGAGAGACAAGAACATCGCGTACTAAAAAATAAAAAAGATGCAATATGTTACAATAAATGTCAGAACTAGAGGAGATGGCTGATTGAATAGTTCAAAATGCAAAAACCCCATGCAGCCAATCAGCTCTCAGATTACTGCAGTCAGCTTCTGTAACAGCGAACATCTGAGTTTAAAAGGGATTCTAAACCCTCAGCTTTTTTTTTGTATAAAATATATATATATATATATATATATACACACACATACACACACACATATATATATATCTCGCTAGCATGCAGTAGATATCTGCAAAAAGTAAAAAAAAAAACGCTTTAACAGTGGTTTAAACTTACCCCCGTCTTCCCCGCGCGCTCCCGTCCGAAAATGTGAAAATTCTCAGGCGGCCGCAAAGGATCTTGGGGGCGGGCGCATGCGCAGTTCACATTTTCGGCCGGGACTTGAGGAGGGACGCAAGGTAAGTCTATGGACGCGTGCACCCGCATGCAGACACCGTGGAACAGGAAGTGCCACAAAGGACAGAGGAGTCAGCGCATGAAAACATCAGGGAAGAAGATCGGATTCAGATACATCATTTAAGGTAAGTGCTTTAATTAACGTTGGGGTGAGGGGAAAAAAAAAGTTGCCTTTAATGTCACTTTAATGCTGGCCATTGTTTTTTTTAATTATTATTTATAATAGACTTTATTAAATAACTTATTTATAAGGTTCTCTCGTAAAACGAAACAAAGAAATGAAAAAACAACAAATAAGCCGCCAGCAGTGCGGTTAATTGGAAAAGCACAAATGTCAGGAATGTAGAATTTCAGGCTTGGCATGTTGTAGAATTGAATGTTTCCATCTGTTGTATGTACATATATCAGAGGCAACATTCACAGCTGCATATACTGCATACTACACGGCCTGTCCAAAAAAAGTCACAGGCTCCAATATTTCCTTGGACCGCCTTTAGCTTTGATTACAGCGCGCATACGCCGTGGCGTTGTTTTGATAAGCTTATGCAATGTCACAACTTTTATTTCCATCCCGAGTCGCATTCATTCTTCACCAAGATCTTGTAGTGATGATGGGAGAGTCGGAGCACTGTGTAAAGTCTTCTCCAGCACATCCCAAAGATTCTCAATGGGGTTAAGATCTGGACTCTGGTGGCCAATCCATGTGTGACAATGATGTCTCATGCTCCCTTAACCACTCTTTCACAATCTGAGCCCGGTGAATCCTGACATTGCCATCTCGGAATATGCCCAATGTGCCATCAGGGAAGAAAAATCCATTGATAGAAAAACCTGATCATTCCGTATATTCAGGTAGCAGCTGACCTCATACTTTGGGTACATAACATTGCTGAACCTAGACCTGACCAACTGAAGCAACCCCAGATCATAACACTGCCCCCATAGGCTTATATGGTGGGCACATAATGTTGCTGAACCTAGACCTATTATCCAATGGAAGGCTCTTTACTATTTGCTTAGCTAAATCCAGGTTGTGGGTTTTTTTTTTAGGACATGCAGTTTATATGGCTAAAAGTAAACGGGCGCCCCTCCCAATGATGGAGTTCAGGAGCATTTTAACGTTGTCTCGTTTTTAAGCATGGTCCCCTTTAATGAATACAAGAACATATTAACCCCTTCATGACTGAGGCCCTTTTTTCCATTTTTGCACCCATGTTATATTCCACATTTTAGGCCTGAAAATGATGTAAAACCCCCCAAACATTATATATTTTCTGACTGCCAAGACCCTATAGAATAAAATGGTGGTAGTTGAAAATTTTTATGTTTATGGTGGTATATTTATGTTTATAAAATGGTGGTAGTTGAAAATTTTTATGTTGCGCAATATTAGCGCAACTCCTTATTAAACCCCAAAATTTAGTGACAAATTTAATTAAATGCCCCAAAACACAACAAATTACCCATTTTTTTAATGAAATATAAAAGATGAGGTTACAACGAGTAAAACGATACCCAACATGCCCAGTTTACAGATTGCGTGCGACCGTGAAACGGCGAAAAACTGCAGTACCCCAAAAAAGGCGACGTACACTGTACGTCGTCAGTCACGAAGGGGTTAACTAAGTTTTTTCTTCTCTGTGCCTGGAGTGGAGCTTTAAAGTTGGGCATATGGCCAGTTACAACTCTTCAACCTCCGTGGCGTTAACCCCAAATGTTACTTTGGCTCAGAATTCTATGTAAAAACTAGGGATGCAACGATACTAGTATCGGCATCGGTGCCGATGCCGAGTACTCGTACTGGCCCAAATGCTCCGTTGCCTAGCACGATACTTCCGGTATCAGCAAGCCGGGCAGCGAGTCATTACACGGTGCCTGGCTTCCTGAATGGCTAGAAAGCAGGCTCCATGCTCCCTCGTCACCAGGTGATGAGGGGGCATAGAGACGGCCTCCTTGCTAATCGGGAAGCCGGATAGCAAGTCTTTACACACTACCCAGCTTCCCGGCTAATCAGGGAGTCATTACACGCCGCCTGGCTTCCTTAATGGGACTTCTGGTATTGGCGAGTACAGAAAGAAAATATTGTTACTCGTACTCAATACCGAAAAACCGGTATCTGTGCATCCCTAGTGAAAACCATTAACTCTGAACGTCACTAATTGGTTTTACTTATAATACTGAGCCCAAGTAATGCTTGGGGTGAATGCCAAGGAGGTTGGGGTTCAGGTTGTTCTTGGGTTGGTGGAGGATCAGTGAACATCCGTTGACTTAGCCTCCCTTTGGACTGTGCTCTCAGTAGCGCTCTGCTCTGAGCACTTCCAGGTTCACCGCGGTCAGATCCCAGCAACTAGTGGTCAGAAATTACATAGAATATTGTCTGTACTTGATCTGTTGGGAATCCTTCAGGGTTCTTGTCGTTCAGAAAGTGCCATCACCTACACTGAGTGGCCAGATTATTATGACCACCCCATCAGTACTTGGTTGGGCCGCCTAGTGACTCCACGAGATGATGAAAGGTGATGCGAGGAATCTGACACTGCACTGTTGCCCTTCAGTTGTCTTGTACCAGTCTTGCCCCTCCCCCGTTCTGCCCTAACATTGACTAGTCGCTGACGGCCACAATTCGCACGTTCAGACCCAGATTTTCGGCTGACAGTCCGGTCTTTAAACACATTAACAACAGCCGCTCTTGAACATTTTACTAATTCTGCTGTTTTGCTGATACTCGCTCCATGGCTCCGAGCGCCAACAATCATCCCACGTTCAAAGGCTGTTACATCGCGTTGTTTCCCCGTATCTTCAGAAACAAATCACTTCTACCGTCGTGGTAACCAACCCGCTTCCCTATTTATAATGGTCTGGCCCTCGAGCAACTTCAGCGCCTTTTGCCTACAAACGTCAGGTGGTCATAATAATCTGGACACTCAGTGTATAAGCTTGGCAACCCCTTTTGTGCATTTGGAACACACATCAAATGCAGGTCAGCAAAATCCCACCGACTTTAATTGAGCAGTACACACAGCAGTTCAGAGTCTGTGTTTGACTGGCTTTGCACTGCTTTGGACACAGCATGTCCTACTGAGGTATGTTTGAACTGCAGGCAAAGAAGGTCAAGGAGGGGGCGGAGACTAGACCAGTCACCCTGCACAAGGAGAGAGAGCAGCAGTGACGGGTCTTTATTACACGAAGCTTTCTTTGGACACAGCATGTCCTACTGAGGTATGTTTGAACTGCAGGCAAAGAAGGTCAAGGAGGGGGCGGAGACTAGACCAGTCACCCTGCACAAGGAGAGAGAGCAGCAGTGACGGGTCTTTATTACACGAAGCTTTCTTTGGACACAGCATGTCCTACTGAGGTATGTTTGAACTGCAGGCAAATGCAGCATTTGAAAACAAAGTCCATCAACATGAGCCCACAACCCTCCAGAATGAAAGTCTCTTACCAGTTTCAGCATCCAGGTGCTGGCCCGACAGGTGGCGAAGCAGCCGAAGGTGCCCAGGAGGATGATGACGGCTCCAGTGCCAATGAGAACGTAGGGCACGTTGGTGGCATTTTCGTTGAGAATTGAAAAGTAGACTTCTAGGCTGACTTTCCCCCAAACACCCACTGTGAGCAGGATGACACCAGTGATCTGTGGACACAAGAGGGCGACACTGAGAACATGGGCAATACAAGAAACCAAAATCAAGATGGAGGGAAAAAAAAAAAATCAAAAAATCTGATTTCTACTTTAAAAATCGATATAAAACCCTAATTTACTGTATTCGACGCGATGACTCAAGGATCCTTACACCACTGGAGCGGAGGGGGAGAAAAGCTGGACTGGTTTAGCAGCCAGGTGGGACCAAGGTTTGGGTGAATCTTTGTTTTTTTACGTCCTGGACTGAAACTAGCTCTTAACCATTGCAGTGAAGGGGTAGCCCCACTGGAAGGGTTAAGTTTGATTTTGCGTGGAACTCCTTGGCTTGTCCCATGCTGTAGCCACCCCTTCGTGCACACTTGAAGAGGACTACAATTAGACCAAATGCCTTTCCTAACCCAGATATTACTGTGTAAAAAGGTAGCCATGACATCATCACAGTGCTGCACATGTAGAGAAAGCAGAGCTGTGGGAGGGATCTAGCAGACCCCACCCACAATAGGATGCCTGCAGAATTCTACAGGAGGGGGCGGGGACAAGACCAGTCACCCCCTGAGAGAGAGCAGCAGTGACTGGTCTTTATTACAGGAGGGGGCGGAGACAAGACAAGTCATCCTGCACAAGGAGAGAGCAACAGTGACTGGTCTTTATTACAGGAGGCGGTGGAGACAAGACCAGTCACCCTGCACTAGGAGAGAGAGCAGCAGTGAGCGGTCTTTATTACAGGAGGGGACAGAGACAAGACCAGTCACCCTGCACTAGGAGAGAGAGCAGCAGTGAGCGGTCTTTATTACTGTGGTGTGTGGGGACAAGACCAGTCACCCTGCACAAGGAGAGAGCAACAGTGACTGGTCTTTATTACAGGAGGGGGCGGAGACAAATCTAGTCACCCAGCACAAGGAGAGAGCAACAGTGACTGGTCTTTATTACAGGAGGGGGCGGAGACAAGACCAGTCACCATGCACTAGGAGAGAGAGCAGCAGTGAGCGGTCTTTATTACACGAAGCTCCAAGTCTCATACTGGATTACTGCTCAGATCTGGAAAAAATATACCTGTCATAGGAAGTGAGGGGAGTTCACCCAGACGGTAATAAAAACCTGACAGGGGCCAAACCACGCTGCTGATAACGGTCTAAACATGAAGGAAAGCCGCCGGCAGGTTAGGTGAATTGTACGGTATGTAGGACGAGCACTAAAAGTCAAATGTCTACAGAGAGAATACGAGTATAAAGGAGAACAAAAACTGGATGGCATTTGGTTTGATAAAGGTTTGTCCATCATAAACAATTCTCGTTTCTTGTTCATGAAATCCCTTTTTCCCTTTTTTTTAGCTTGTGTTGCATCTGAATGCTGCTAATCTCCTGCAGCTTCTTTCAGCCACTTCCTATCTACATGCACATCATCGCTCTGGTCTGGCTTCCTGACAGAGACAACGGCTGCCCAGTTGCTGGAGTCCATGGGGCCCAAATCCACATGATTCAGCCAATAAAAGTTACTTTTTGGAGCTGCGAGGAACAATCGACAACTCTCAGCGCCAGAGGCGTCCCGAGGCGGGGTGACACCCGGTGCGGGTACTGGGTGACACCCCGCAGTGACGTCATCACGTCATGCGCGGTACCGCCTTTACCTGCCGGCTGCCATCTTGGTGATGAGGAGGGGACGTCACCCGGCAAGGTATGCCATCGAGTTCCCTCCTCTCTCTCGAGCAACTGTCGGGCTCCTGGTCCTTGACCGAGCGCCCGACTTTTCAGAGGGGGATGACACCAAAATGACTGTCAGTCATTTTGGTGTCACCCCTCCAATGGAGTCACCCGAGTGCAGTCATTTTGGTGTTAGCCGACAC